TGTGCGGGTACTTTCAGATGTTGAAATATATTTGAAAACCTCCAGAAGTTAATCTACTTTGTGACTCTTGACAAGTTTCTTAATCATTCTGAGCCTTACTTTCTTTATCTGAAAAGTGAACTAATGATATATGATATTGGGGTTGTTAGAAGGATCAGCATTAGAGCACCTAGCACAGTCATGGCAAATATTGGATGCTCAGTGTGTGGTACTTACTCTTCATGGCAAGTTTAGAGTATTTGGACAACTGGAACAGCTATGTTTGCAGATTTTGGAAACTCTACATAGAAAGGTAGTTTCTTAATGAGCCGATTTTTTAGGAATAGCCAATCAAACCACTTATTGAGATCTAAGCACCATAACCTCATGGAGAAATTCTAGGGAAAGGCACAGTTGCAACTCTAATCATGCACTCTGATTTTGCTCCGTAATTAATAGTTTCCTTTTTGATGAGCTCTCTTTAAATCACTCTGTGTTTTCTTGTGAACAACTATACTACCAAACTCCTTTCTAGACTGGTTTTTGTCATATAATGTTTTTACCACAAACATGTATTCATAGTTAAACATAAATTGATCTTTTTTTTTTAACATTTTAAACTAATGTATATGACTTTGAAATTCACTTTTTTCCCACTTAAAATGAAACATGATATCTGTCTAGGTCACACAGATAGTCTTACTTTACCATAATTGAAACCATATTCCTATCAAATATATATTGAGAGAAAGAGAAAGGGAGTGGGGAGAGACAGAGAGATGGAGGGGGAGAGGGGAGGGAGGAGAACGGTGATGCTGCGCCGACTCACCACCAAAGCCACACGGGGAGCTGGAGCTGCACCTGGCTGTGTTTGAATCCAGGCTCCACCACCACCGGCTCTCGGGGCTAAAGGCAGGATGTTCAACTTCCCACTGCCTTCAGTCTCCACAGCTGCAATACAGGAGCAGTCACAGCACCTGACTTGCAGAGCTGTAAGAGGATAAAAAAGGTTAATGTACATAATATGTTGAGGACAGAGTCAGGCTCAAGACAAAGAAAGAGGCCACAGAGTGTTTGCTGTCATCTCGTAGTTGCACGTTTTTTCTTGCGGGTTTTTTCCCCACTATGTTTGTAGCATATTCCATTCTATTGATGTACCACAGCATAAGGATGTTTCACTCCTAAACACTTCAGTGTTTACCTAGAATTCAATATTTGTTTCTAATCCTTTTTTAAGATGAAATTTACATACAGTAACGTGCATCTGTATACCTTAAGTGTGTCACCTGATGAGTTTTGACAAATACTGTGACCCAAACCCCTGTCAAGACACAGAACTTGATCATGACCTCAGAGAGTTCTTTCCATGCTTCTTCCCAGTCAATCTCTGGCCCACTCACCAAAGGCAATTGTTCTTCTGTTTTCTTTTTTTTCCCCCAGCATAAATCAGTTTTGTGTGAAGTGTTTAGAACTGTATAATGAAATCAAACAATATGTGCTCTTTTGTGAAAGCCTTCTTTCAGTCAGTATAATATTTTAAGATTCATTCATGTTGCATGAATCAATAGTTCATTCGTTTTTATGGCTGAGTAGTATTCCATTGTATGTATATACCGGAGACTGATGGACCTCTGAGCTGTTTCCAGCTTTTAGCTGTTGTGATAAAGTTGCTAATGATGTTCTTGTACAAGTACTTTTTTGGACATCCACTTTCATTTCTACTGAGTAAATTCCTAGGAGCTGAATTACTGTGACATAGGTTAGATGTATGTTTCATTTTATAGAAACTGCCAGACATTTTTACAAAGCAATTGTACAGTTTTATACTCCCTCCAATAATGTGTGAGAATTCCATTTGCTTTATGTTTCTGTCAATATTTGATTTTTTTCAGTCTTTTTAATTTTAGTAATTGTGGTCTCCCTCTCTCTCTCTCTTTCTTTCTGTTTCAAAATAAGTACACTTATTAAAAATTCTAGTTTGGGGAAGTATAGGTGATTCTTATTTTTTTCTTTGAATTTTTTCTATATTTTTTAATTTTGGAAAAAACATTTTTAGCAATAAATGAAACAGTTATTTTACGAAGTTAAAAATAAACTTAGCTAAAAAACACTTGTCAATGTTATGCAAATGATTACAGTACTTATACTTTGGGATAAAATTTCCAGGAACTTTATTACATAAAGATGCAAAATATACTGTATCCCAAACCAGTTAGAGTAAAGATAATGTTTTCTGAGAACTGTGTTAGATGACTGAAGAAATGATCCAAGTGATGATGAAGAAACTGAAGACTAAGATTTATGTGAGATGTTTAAATAAAATATTTTGTACATTTTATGTTAAAATAAGTACTTCCAAATTAATATTATTTAATATAATAAATTTTAAGTATTATTAACTAATTTAAATATTATAATATATTATGTTATTATATATCACATATTATAAATATTATAATTAATTTCATCTGTATCTCTAAAATTTTATTAATTCAAGTTAGCCAAAAATGTTTAAAATAAAATTTCCATTGGTAAAATTTGGTTATATATTAGTTTTTAAATTTATAGTTTATTTAAACTCTTTAATAGTAACTCTAACAACATAAAAATTTATTATATTCACTGAGTAACCAAAAAAATAAAGAAAATTTAATACATGTAGATAATCTGATTTAGCATGACAATTTTTGAACTGGAAGTTGAGCCTAGAAATACCTGACTCTCCCAAGATTATATGATGAATACAACACTGGGGCTAATCCAGGCCTCCTCCCGCCTCCCAGACCACCACTTGATCCATTTATAGCATCTTGTTTTGTAAAGAAAGAATAATCAATATATAGTAAATCACTAAAAATGGTATCTACCTAATATTAATAAAAACATTTTATTTTACAATACAGTTCCCCCTTTGCCATTTCAAATATAGCTATCATCTTTATATATAAGTGGAGCTAGCAGCTTCCAGAATAGCTTAATTTAACTGTTTTTTTGTTTTTGTAAGTATAATTGGAGCGTTGATGAGATATTTTCTGACCAAAATATTTTCCATGGTTCTCAAAATCTCTAAATTTATTTAACTCCTTAAAGGCCTCCTTAATACTAAAGATATTTTTATTATGAAAGTGTGAAAATTAATGCATTGTAAGCAGAGATTATTTAGTCAAGTTCACTGTCTCTGGGCCAAGGCCTGAAGGAAAAGGAGGATTTTCTTCAGAGGAACAGAGGAGTTACATTCATCAGCAAGGTGAACATATTTTACGGTTAGAGTTAAGTGAAATTCCAACAATGGCCACACACAAATTGCGTTCAGCTGTGAGTAACAGAGAACTAAGGGGCACTGATTTACAAAAATTGGGGGATTTATTTGTGTTACATAATGGGAAGTCACAAGACAAGTGGTTATAGGTGTCAGGGTGAGACATGTGAGATTATCCTCGCCTTTTCCTTGTAGCTGCAAGATGCTTGCCCCAGTTCCAACAGCACGTCCCTGTTCTACACAGCAAGGAAGAGGGGGTGGTGTTCATGTTGGGAAAGCAAAAATTCTCCTAATGTTTTATTAATCAGAATGATGTCAAGTGGCCACACATGTAAGAGTGTCTGGGCAATGTAATTTTTAAATGGGCTCACTCAATACCCAATAAAATTGTGGTTTTGTTAGTAAAGGAAAAGGAAAGCATTCATATTGGGTAGGCAACTAGCAGCCCTTGCAATAAAATTATTTCACACAATGCATTTCTTTTCACAATTTTTATTCTATGCTAAGAAGTGCTAGTTAACTCTATTAAAAAACAGAATATAAATGTATATATTGGAATACACCTTTCCCCCAATTGCTTTTTCCCCTATGTAATTGGTCAAAATCATTACTAGTCTTACAAAATTTTATTATCTTTTACCTTTACAGTATACTTACTGTAATGTCATTTTCATACAGCTCACCTGATAGCTATTAAAAACAATGTTTCTGCAGTGCCCTTGCCACACAGATTAGATGTTTAATAAGAAGTGATATTGTACTACCCAGAAAGGAATCTATTTTAAGCTCAGACATCCAAGCAAACATAACCCTTGCTTTAAAGAAGACTGAAAATCACTCTCCTGAAGTCAACCAAGAGGCTAATAAGAACTCAGTTTAAAAAATTGGTGAAGGCAAGCAGCTGGCATCTCTTAGGGCATAAAAAAACCCCACAATTGTCCCTGAAAATCAATTTGTAGTTTCTATTTACAGCAAATTAATAAGTGTAAGAAAGGATCTTCTCACAGCGCTTGAATAATTTGCTCCCATTCTGTAAAGTAAGGTAAACAATTGAGAAATGGAGAGACACGGTCCAGTTCCCATTCCCTCCTGCTCCAAAAGGACAGCTTTCAGAAGAATCAAATGCTCACAGGTGAATAAACCTGCCAGACCTACAGGCACATAGTTGAGCTCTAGTGGTGGATGACAGATTGTGGAGAATTACAATATGGAGTAGGAGAATTATTGGAAAAAACTCTTCTTCCTACTAATGATTAATCTCCCTCTCCAAACTCTCTTCTTATTCAGTTCTATGAGTGATCACCATCATGTCCAGAGCAAAAATAAATGAAAATTAGCGGTAGATGTATATTGTTACTTATGTAAAATAGGAAAAATGTCATTTTTGAGGGGGAGGTAAATATTTTAAAAAGTTCAAGGGCTTTTCTGGTTCTATTTTTCTCATAATGTCTTGAATCTATTAATTGTGATATGTTACCATAGTTATTTCCCAGAATCTATCAGTTTTATAAGGGGATTCATTACTATAAATAACTGTCAGCAAACAATACGGCAAATGTGTAGACACATCTTTGTTATCCTTGTTATTTGAGTATATTATTTGGGAATGCCGGAGTGCTACGTTAAAGTCATTGTCATTGTATCAGCTAAAAGAATCTGCTTAGAGTGAAGCAAATGTAGTATGTGTGGTAGTCATATTCATATCAAAGAGCCTGGGAAATAAAGTTTACAATATATCTTTTTTGGTTTTGTTTTTTTTCAGTGATTGCAAATGATGGATTTTATATAATACTGAAAGGCCTAGCTAGACCTCGAACACAGGTATATAAAAATCTGATTGAAGAAAGTGAGTCAACACCCTCTTTCGTATCTCAGACTTTCCACAGCTTTGTTTTTGATGAAGATTTCAAACACTCTCTACTTGGTGAGATGCGCATACCTTCATGTGACCCAATGGTAAGAAAGGAATGTTTGCTTTTTCCATAAGCAATAAGGTATCATTATTGTAAAATTTTATCTCTTCTGGATATTTAAATCCAAATATCTTCAGTGAGTCCTGAAATATTCAAGATAATATATCTTTTAAAAATAAAAATTATACTACTAATATTGAACTTGAAATTTGTTTAGAAAATTTAATGAGAGATGCCTTCAATAACATACTGCCCACTGACAGGAGTTGTGTCATTATGTGAAAACTGAGACAAGGCCCATGTGATTGACTCACTGAATGAAGAGGGAGGGTAGCTTGAGATAAGGGAGATGGATTAGGTGATTTGAAGGAGACATAGAAGACAGATCATGAAGGGCCTTTTAAATCAAGTTAAGAATGTGTGCTTAACCTGTTTATCTCCAGAGCAGTGCCAAGGCAATCAAGGAGGTTATTCCCTCACAATCAGAAAGTCTTAAAGAAAATCCTTTGCTTAGATGTAATATTTCAAGACTATCAACTGGTCAAAAAGTAAAAGTTCAGTATCTTTCTTGATCTCTGGATATGGAGATCATGTACATGGAGATCAGATCTGGTTTGACTAGAATTGTGGCTAAAAAAGCCAGTATTAGATTTAGGGTGGTCAAGATGTTCAGATTAGAAAAGAGCCGAGGGAAACAATTAAAGCCAAATTATTTAGCACTATGGATTGAAGTCAGGACAACCTAGAACATTCTCAAGTTAAAGAAGGATGAGGATGGATAAAACTGAGAAAGAAAAACAAGGATAAGAAACAAGACAAGAACATAAAAGTATATTGTTGATCACACGTGAATGGGTGATATTTCTAAATCTTCTTTCTTGATAGGGATGGAAAACAATGCATTTGTTACCCTATGGCAGCATACCATGTACCCGAGCCCATTTCAATCTGCTTTAGAAAAAAATATCACATTTGGCACAGCAGCTATAATTAGGGCTACTTCTTGGTTGAATTTGAGGTCGTCAGCTCAAATCTTCCAGGATCGACTTGTTTGCTTTTTGAGAGAAAAACTCATGAATTAAATGGGGATATGCTGGAACCACCACCTCTGAATCCTGCATTAGGTCTATGATGGCTGCACTAATCTCTGTCGTTCTACCTAGGATGTAGTTTTGTTTTGTTTATTTTTTTCCAGTTTTATTGAGGAATAATTGACAAAAATTGTATATATTTAAGATATATATTTTGATGTTTTGATATATGTATACATTGTAAAGTGATCACCACAATCAAGCTAAATAGCATATCCATCATCTCACATAGCATTTTTGTGTGTGTGGTGAGAGTACTTAAGATCTTCCCTCTTAGCAAATTTCAAGTATGCAATTCAGTATTGTTGACTATGGTCACCATGCTGCACATTAGATCTCCAGGAGTTACCTTGCATAACTGAAACTTTGTATCCTTTGACCAATATCTCTCCATTTCCCCTACCTCCCATCCCCTGGTAACCAACATTCTACTCTCTACTTCTATGAGTGACTATTTTAGATAGCACATATAAGTGAAATCATACAATATTTGAAATACATACAATCATACAAAATCTGTTTTATTCCACTTAGCTTAATGTCCTCTAGGTTCAACAATGTTGCTGCAATTGGCAGGATTTCCTTCTTTTAAAGACTGCATAATATCCCATTGCACATATATACCATGTTTTCTTTATCCATTCATCCATGAATAGACATTTAGGTTGTTTCCATGTCTTGACTATTGTGAATAATGCTACAATGAATATGGGAATGTAGATATCTCTTTGAGATACTGATTTCATTTCTTTAGATGTATACCCAGAAGTGGGATTGCTGGATTGTATGGTAGTTCTATTTTTAATTTTTTGAAGAAACGCCATACTGTTTTCAATAATGGCTGCACCAATTTATATTTCCACCAACAGTGTACAAGGATTCCCTTTCCTCCACATCTTCACTAACACTTACTTTTTGTTTTTTTATAACAGCCGTTCTAACGTGTGAGGTGATATCTCATTGTGGTTTTGATTTGAATTTCCCTGATGACTAATGCTGTTGAACACCTTTTCAAATACCTGTTGGCCACTTGTATGTCTTTTTTTGAAAAAATGTTTACTTAGGTCCTTCTCCCATTTTTTAATTGGGTTATTTGTTTCTTTGCTATTGAGTTGTGTGAGTTCCTTACATATTTTGGACATTAACCTCATCAGATATATGGTTTGCAAATATTTTCTCTCCTTCCATAGGTTGTCTTTCACTCTGTTGATTGTTTCCTTTGTTCAACAGAAACTTTTTAGTTTGATGCAATCTCGCTTGTCTATTTTTGCGTTTATTGCCTCCGCTTTTGTTGTCATATCCAAAAACTCATTGCCCAGATCAATGTCAGGAGGCTTTTTCCCTATTTTTCTTCTAGGAGTTTTATGTTTTCAGGTCTTACATTTAAGCCTTTAATCCATTTTGAGATGGTTTTGGTGTATAGTGTGAGATAACATCCATGTTCATTTTTCTGCATGTGGATATTTAGTTTTCTGCCATTCTATATGTTACCTTTTCAGTTTATTGATTGTTTCTTTTGTTGTGCAGAAGTTTTTAGTTTGGTGTAGTCCCACTTTTTATTTTTCCTTTTGTTGCTTGTGCTGTTGGTGTCTTATCCAAAAAATCATTGCCAAGACCAATGTCAAGGAGCTTCTTTCCTGTGTTTTCTTCTAGGAGTTTTATGGTATTAGATCTTATGTTCAAGTCTTTAATTCATTTCAAGTTAATTTTTGTGAGTGGTGAAAGATAAGGGTCCATTTCATTTTTTTGATTGTGGTTATCCAGTTTTTCCTGCACCATTTATTGAAGAGACTATCTTTTCCCCATTGAATATTCTTGTCAAATATTAGTTGACTGTATATTTGGGCGTTTATTTCTGAGACCTCTGTTCTGTTCCATTGGTCTATGTGTCTATTTTTATACATGTACCATACTGTAGTATAGTTTGAAATCAGGAAATGTGATAGCTCCAGCTTTGTTCTTCTTTCTCAGAATTGCTTTGGCCATTCAGGGTCTTTTGTGATTCTGCACTAATTTTAGAATTGTTTTATTTCTGTGAAAAATGCCATTGGAATTTTGATAGGGATTGCATTGAATGTATATATGGCTTTGGGTAGTATGGACATACTAATATTAATTGTTCCCATCCATGAACATGGGGAATCTTTCCATTTGTTATCTCTTCTTAAATTTCTTTCATCAAAGTCTTATAGTTTTCATTGTACATGTCTTTCACTTCCTTGGTTAAATTTATTCCTAAATATTTTATTGTTTTTGATGCTATTGTGAATGGGGTGGTTTTCTTTATTTCTTTTTCAGATGTTTTGTTGTTAGTATATAGCAACACCACTGATTTCTGTATGTTGATTTTATATCCTACAACTTTACTGAATTCATTGATTAGTTCCAACAGTTTTGGGGTTGAGTCTTTAGGATTTTCTATGTATAAGATCATATCATCTACAAATAATGACAATTTTACTGCTTCTTTTCTGATTTAAATGTCTTTTATTCCTTTGTCTTGCTTAATTGCTCTAGCTAGGTCTTCCAATACTATGTTGAATAATAGCGGTGAGAGTGGCACCCATGTCTTGTTCCTGATCTTAGAGGAAAATTTTTCTAGTTTTTTGAGGTGTAAAGTTAACTTATTTTAAATCTTTTTTTTTGTGAAGATCAGCCCTGAGTTAACATCCATGCTAATCCTCCTCTTTTTGCTGAGGAAGACTGGCTCTGAGCTAACATCTATTGCCAATCTTCCTCCTTTTTTTTTCCCCCAAAGCCCCAGTAGATAGTTGTATGTCATAGTTGCACATCCTTCTAGTTGCTGTATGTGGGACGTGGCCTCAGCATGGCTGGAGAAGCGGTGCGTTGGTGCACACCCGGGATCCAAACCCCGGGCCTCCAGTAGCGGAGCGCACACACTTAACCGCTAAGCCACAGGGCCGGCCCTAAATCTTTTTTAATATAGGCATTTATCACTATAAACTTCCATCTTAGAACTGCTTTTACTACATCCCATAGTTTGATATGTGGTGTTTCTTTTTTTTGGCTTGAGATTTTTTTTTTTTGGCTGGGAAAGATTCGCCCTGAGCTAACATCTGTTGTCAATCTTCCTCTCTCTCTCTTTTTTTTTTCTGCCCAATGCCCCAGTACATAGTTGTGTATTCTAGTTGTAAGTCCTTCTAGTTCTTCTGTGTGAGCTGCTGCCACAGCATGGCTACTGACAGATGAGTGACACACCTGGGAAGAGAACCTGGGCTGCCAAATTGGAGCACTCCAAACTTTAACCATTGGGCCATCAGGGCTGGCTCGAGATATTTTTTAAATTGCCTTTTGATTTCTTCTTTGACTCAGTGGGTTGTCAGAAGTGTATTGTTTAGTTTCCACATGTTTGTGAATTTTCCCATTTTCTTCCTGTTAGATATTGTTGTTGGAAAATATACTTGGAGCGATTTTGACCTTAAATTTATTAAGATTTGTTTTGTGACCTGACATGTAATCTATCCTGGAGAATATTCCTTGTGAGCTTGAGAAGAATGTGTATTCTTCTGCTGTTGGGTGGAAAATACTGTATATGTCTGTTAGGTCCATGTGGTCTATGATGCTGTTCAAGTCAGCTACTTTTGTGTTGATTTCCTGTCTGGATGCTCTGTCCACTATTGAATGTGGGCTGTTGAACTCCCTTATTATTATGTGTATCCTTAAATCTGAAGTGAGTCTCTTATAGACAGCATATCTCTGGTTCTTGTGGGGTTTTTTTGGTTATTGTTTTTTATCCATTCAGCCACTCTATGTCTTTTCATTGGGGAGTTTAATCCATTTACATTTAACATAATTATTGATAAGTGAGGACTTATTGCTATTTTGTTAATTGTTTTCTATCTGTTTTGTAGTTGTTTTGCTCTCTTCCTCTCTTCTTGTCTTCCTTTATTTGATGATTTTTTTTGGCAGTGATTTGCTTTGATTCTTTTTT